AAGTAGGTACCTTTACTATAATCAATCACCATTAGCCTATTTTACAAATGAGAAAATTGAGGCCCAGAGGAGTTCATACAGATTTTCTAGCTCATAAAGGGAAGGTTCAGGATTCAAGCCAGACAGTCTGACTCCAAGGGTCACAGTCTCGGGTCACAACCCTCTGAACCCCAAGCCCAGATTTCCAGGGGGAAGAACCTGATAAGGCTCAGTACGTGGCAGGAGCAGCCCTTGGTGTCCTGTGAACTGTACCAGTCAGCTGGGGTTATTAGCACAAACATGGCAGTGGAAGACAAGGAGCCATGAGCTGGGGTGTGGGGCGGAGGGAACAGCAGTTCTCAGAAAAATAGAACATTGCGTAACAGGCATTTACTCATAAAGGTGTTGCTACATCCTGTGTGGCAGGAGTTCAGCTTCCACACTTACTCATGAACTGACTGAAGATCCGGGAGGTTAAACTACTTGTTTCAGGCTACGAATAAGTGAGGCAAGATTCAAACACAGCCTATCTAATTCCTAAGGCTTACGGTATCGTAATACACTTTCAGAGGAGGATGGCCAGGACAGCTGAGAGGAGGCATTATGTGGCAGACTGTATTTTCCAAAAAGAGCTATAATATCTCCCACCCCACAGGATCTTCCTAAAATATTAACTTTGACATTTCCCCCAACGAGAGAAGGGGAACATAGTCATTCCCTTAGATTTGGGAGGGCTCGTGTGGCTCTGACGGAGGTGACACTCCAGGATTTCTAAGGTAAGGTGATGAAGAATGAGATGGCTCGCCCTGTACTCTTCAGATGCGCACTCCTGGAACCCAGCCGCCATGCTGTGAGGAAGCCCAAGTGTATCCATGCAGAAAGACCACATGGAGAAACCTTTAACCTACCCAGAGAAAGAGAAATGCCTGGCCTGCTCGAGCTGTTCTAGCCCCCCAGATACCATCTGACTATAGTCTCATGATAGAACCAGAGCTGGAACTGCCAGATGAACCCTTCTCAAATTGTTTTAAGCTGCAAAGTTTGGGGGGGATGTGTTATACAACAACAGTAACCAGACAAGCATATTCTGAGGAACAGGTCTCTGCAGGAGGACATGAGAGCCGTCTTCAAGTATCTGAGGGCTGCCATGTCTAAGAGTTTGACTTGGGGTGCAGAGCTCTAGGCAACAGCCCTAACATCAACAGTTGGGGATATTCTACGGAGGCAAATTCAATTCTTCATTGAGGTTTTCTCTAACTACAGAACTTTAAAACGCTCATGCAGAAATGAGCACTCTGCCACCAGGCGTATTCAAGCAGGGATGGTCACTTTGGGGGATGTTGTATAGAAGGGTCCAGAAGACCCCGAAGGCACTTTCCAACTCTAAAAATATATAATTTCAAATGACCTAAGGCTAGAACTGTTTTCGAAGAAGAAACATTTAGTAAATGCTTCTTAGAAGAGGTGAGGACCAACCTGGGCTTTTTAAGTTGGAGAGGGTTGGGAAAGGTGAGAAGTAGGGGGGGCCACTCAGCAAAAAAATGGTGGAAACTTCTTTTTTTAGATATCTCTTTATTGATTTCAGAGAGAGGAAGGGAGAGGGAGAGAGAAAGCTGGAACATAGTGATGAGAGAGTTGTCATTGATCGGCTGCTTCCTGCACGCCCCAACTGGGGATCGAGCCCACAACCTGGGCATGTGCCCTGACCGGGAATCAGGCTGCGACCTCCTGGATCCTAGGTCGATGCTCAACTGCTGAGCCCCCCTGACCGGGCAAGTCGTCCCACTCTTCTCTCCACAGTAAGCCCTGCATCTGTTCCTGGTGTTCCATTTGCACTGTCATTGGCTTTGTTCAACCATCATCACCTCCCCCTGGATGGCGACAACATTCCTCAGAATGCTCTGAACGTGTCAGACCTTGTCTCTAAAACCAAAACCTGCATTCAGTTTCCACCACCTTTAGAATAAAGTTGGAATTTCTTAGGCATCTAAGGCTTTCATATGGCGAAGAACAAGGGAAGGGGGTGGTGGGAAAGATGGGTCAGGGGACAGGCAGACATTAATTCCCGCGTTAGTTTCTTAGGACTGCTATAACAAATTACCACAAACCATATGGCTTAATATAACAGAAATTAATTTTCTCACAGTTTTGGAGGCTGGACATCCAAAATCAAGGGCTATGCTCCCCTTGAAGGCTCCAGGGAAGAATCCTTCCTTACCTCTTTCTGGCTTGTCAGAGCTCCTGGAAATTCTTGGCCTTCCATGGTTTGCAGCTGCATTACTCTAATCTCTGCCTCTTTTTTTTTTTTTTATTTTTTTT